GCGGGGCCAGCATGGCACGTAGGGATTAAACCTAGGCCCCTGCGTCTGCCTAAGCAAGTGCTTTAGTCCGCTGAGCTAACTGGCTGGCCAGAAAGGTATTTTTAATGAAACCCATGCAAAGACTGCAGCCAATGCCGAACTGATACTCAGTGTCCAGCACACTGGATAGGATGAGCCCAGGGGAGATGAGTTGGGTACTGCATGAACTTACCAGAAGTAGGTCTTTGCCTAGCTCGTCGATATCTGTTACAAACTTCTCAATGGGTTGGGCAGGTTTGGAATGAAAAGCCTGCCTGGGAAGGGCCACATCTCTCGGCCAGTCCTCTTCTCCTGGGAGTCCAATTACACTACAAAAGAACCACGTGTGAATGTAAGCATTCCCTCCTGTGGGCTGGGTTTTGCTCAACACAGTCTAGAAAAAGCAAAACCTATGGAGCAGGCAAGCAGAGAGAGAACTTGACTTTTATGGTTTGAAGACTGTCTCATTTGTCTCTGCTCTATGACTAAGGGGCCTACATGGGGCCAAGGCTCATCTCATAGGCTAACAGTAGCATTCATTGGGGGGAGACAGATTACTCTGGCAGCAGACAATAAATTTAACTACTAATGTAGAAATGGAGCATATATTCAGTGAAACCCCTAATGTGCTGATGACACAGGACCCACTTGATTCAAATGAGACCCACATAGGTATATACCCTCACGGTCAAGAGTGCTTTTTTGCTGTTGTTGTTGTTCTGATGGAATACCTCCAAAAGGACACGTTTTCATGGCATTCATCCAACGTGAGCTATTAATATATGTTTGGTTGCATTACTGGTTAGAGCAATTCCCTAAACAACAACTACGTATATTAGACATACTACATACAGTAGACAGCAGACAAAAGAAAAGCAGGGCCAGAAGGTCCTGCCTTACGCAAATGTTGTTTTATAAAAGACATCTCTGGTATTCCAAAGCAAGTAAATAATAAAAGAATATTATTTATGTTTCTTCTGAAAGCCATTTTGGGATCATAAATGTAGAGAAAATAGCCAGTGACAAAAATGAGAACAATGTCTGCATCGTGTACAATGAATAACCACTAAGACAACAATATGCAATGTATTTATTATTGAAACTGTCCTACTAATCGGTTTCAAAACTGTCTCATTACTACTTGTTTCTCAATAAAATTATCTAAAAAAATGAGAACAGGTTTTGGAAACAAGTAGGTTTGGGTTCAAATTCAGCACCTGCTGCTTACCGGCAGCAAGGATGAATTACTTAATGTTTGTGACTCTTGTCTACAATGATGATAATAATTTATGGTTGTAATGATGATTAGTGATGATATATATGAAGCATATGAATGTTTCAAACATTGCACACAGAGTCAATATTATTACTCATTATCGTAAGAAAATAATGTTATGGGGAACATATTGCCACTACAGTAAAAATATGAACAGCTTGATCTCTATGTGTAACTTAAGGTACTTTAGACATATTAATGTCAGTTGACCTACAAATTACAAAAAGAAAATTATTTATAGTGTAAGTATAGGTGGTAACTAGGTTTGAACAAGGGAACTAAGAGGCTGGAAGAACTTATGTCTTATAAAGACCAAGTAACTCTGAACAGTTTAGTGGACAGAATATATTGCTATTCAAATATAGAACCAAATTATTTTAACTCCAAGTAGAAATGATGCTGACCCACATTATAGTCTTTTCCTAGGTCTGTACTCTTTCAATGAGACTAAGGCCTGGGAAGAGATGACCTGATGAGTGTAACTTCCTGGTGGTCAATGTCATAGGATCTGCAGGGCTTTGTTCCTCTTTCCCTTACCTAAACAGAGACCAGAGTCCAGTAAGAGCAGATTCCCTGGCTGTCAGCGCACCTGGCACTGGCTCTCATGAGACATTAATCCTACCTTTGTTGGGCATCTAGAGTGAGCCACATCACGGAGGCAAAGTGCCTCAAGGACAAATTTACTGAAAGCAGTCAACAGAAACAACTTGAGCAGTACGTGCATGTGTTTACTGACAAGCTCTGCAGTGAGAGGAAGGAGAGGAGAGTGAGCTGGGCACGTAGGTCAATGGTAGATCACGCGCTCGGCACAGGCATGGCCCTGGGTTTAACCCCCAGGATCTCCTCAGCCTAAAAGAAATAAAAGAGAAGAAAACAGAACTACCACTATTAATTATGAAAGGAAATGCATGAGTATGTGCTTGGGTAGAACTAGGGGGCAGGGCAGAGGGTAAAAGCAGTAAGGATGATTAAAGAGCTTTCAAAATGTTCTTTCATTCCTATAGTGTCCTTTTGCCATTTGTATCTGTAGTTTTGCATATCATCACCATTCATCTATATATTGATTATAATGACTGTTTTGTTTCTAAGTTTGAATTTACACTTTGCGATACAATCTTGCAAGGATGGTGAACCTGAAAGCCAAAATCCTTCCCAGAAAGAGCACATCTCTGTGTGGCAGATGATTACATAATGTAGTATATATTTAAAACTACGGATTATATAAAGATATATATCTGTAAATCTTTCTCCTCTTCTAACTCATGCAAAGATGCCCTGATGGATGCTGGCCAAGGCATTACTTCCATTTTTAGCTGGGGAAACAGAGAATGAAGAATGAATTGAGAGAGAACCCAGGTCTCCATATTTGAAATCCAGTATTATATTTCCACTGACTGACAGTACTCTTTAAAAACGCTCTAAAGGGGTCGGGGAGATGGCTCAGTGGAGTAAGCGCTTCCCTGGCAAGCGCAAGGGCCTGAGTTCAATCCCCGGCTCTGCCAAAAAACCCCCAATCAAACAAACAATAACAAAAAAATCGCTCTAAAATGTCATAGGCCAAAAGCATTGTTTCACTTTCAAAGTACTTGTGTTTTTTTAAAGTACAAATCTTCTTCAACGTTGAAATACTTGTCTCTCTGAGATTATGTGAATACAGCTTTCTTTTAAAAAAATCCAGCTTCATATCCAACATGGACTTTTATGACCCCTATATGAGTGTTGTAAAATTCTGATAGGTACATTGGAAAGTGCTTGCATCATATTCCACTATTTGGACAGCTGGATGTAAGCCCTAGAAGTTGACATTTATACTGGAAAGACTGACAGCACAAAAACCATAAAAGGCTGTGGTGGTGGGGACAGAAGTCATTTTTCAAGTATTTAGCAGTGACACTAGGGAGCAGTATTGTCCCTCTTCTCTGGCAAGGTAGTACATTCTGAGGAAACAGAACATCCTTTTGATGAAACTCTGCCAGAAATCAAGAAATGAAATCAGCAGGCACAAAATGTATAGAGCTTCACAGCTTCTTTTCTGCTGGAAATCCAGGCTTGGCAGGGCCCTCGCTCTCCCTTGGAAGCCAGGCAAACTTGCTGGTCAAATGTTCCTTCCAGTCCACTGTGCCTTTATGGACAAGTGGGGACAGTAACAATTAACAAGACTGCACACTATCAAGGGCAGGACAACAAAGCCCAGGCAGTACACAGAAGGGGAAGCAGGGATGGCCTCTAATGCTCGGCCAGTGGATTCTGGTGCACATGTTTTCTCTGTTCAACACAGGGATGCCAGAATCTCTGACTTTCTCAGTTTGCTCTTCAAGGTCACGACGTGCACGCAAAATATACCCAATGGTCATGGGGAAAACCAGATGTGAGCTCATCACTGAATGGTCAAGGAATGTGACATCCAGCAACGGGGTTAACTGGAGGGTTTTGTGCCAGAATTTATCCATATTAGGGGTGGTCAACAGTAGCACTAGTGGCAGCTGTCCTATACTTGGGAAGTCCCCAGACAAAAAACAAAATCAAAATATAAAAACCAAAATTAGCAAAGGTTCTTTAGGCTTTCAAGCCACTGGGTTCTGATTCACTGGCACATGGGTGCTCCCATAAGTCTACTGGAGTTGCTCCTAGTCACCACACAGTAGTCAGGCTCCAGTGGGGCTCCAGCTGTTTTAAGCAGGCGTGCTCGAATAGACAGTGCTAACAGAGACCTGTGTTCTGTAGGGCAACGCTTTCTCTGCCTTTCAGACCTAAGACTTCATACAAAGCACTGGGATTCCTATTAAATATTTCAGACCAATGATCACAGCTATTTTTAGCCAGAACTCCCACTTGCTGTTCCAGTCCAACTCTGATGGGGCTTGGCAAATCACAAATTCAAAAGATGCCATACTGACTGCATGCTTTATGAGAAACAAAAGTCCCAGTTACATTCTCGAAACACGGAGGCCTACATATGCTCACATGCACAAACATGTAGACATGAATGTTGCTACAGGAATGGAGCTATGTAACAAACAGATGGAACCACAGAATTTGAGCCCAAGAAAGAATGGTACAGGTAAAATGAAGCCAGAATTCCATTTTTTAGACAAAGAACATTAAGAAAGAAAATAATACATCATTAACGATGAATTATAATCACAATAATCGCTACCATTTTTAAAACCACTTACTATACACCAGGGACTGCAAAGTTTTTACAGGGGGCTTTAAATGATTTTCTCAAGGTTATTTAGCCACAGTCCAGGAGGAGAAGACAGGATTTTCATTTCCTAGTTCGTGCTCAAAAAAAAAAAATAAAAAAATAAAAAAAATAAAAAAAAATAAAAAAATAGGATTATGTAGCATCTTGTCCTTGGCTCAGGAAAACAAAACAAAACAAACAAACAAACCAAACCAAACCAAATCAAACCTGGATGACCCAAAATATAACTGATGGGGACAGGAAGCTTACTGGACAAGGATGGGTAACTAGGCCACCAAGTGCCTCACCTCTGATGAGGGGTGCATTTGAAAGACCTTAAGTAGACAACACATCTGCACACCAAAGAGCTGGAGCTCAGCCAAGCAAAGAAAGAGGAACAGCAAAAACAGGTTCACACAAGCAACACACAGCTCCCAGAGCAGCAGTCAGGCCACACTTCAATGATGGGCACTGTCTCCACTCACCACACAAACAGTAACACTGTCTGCAGCAGCAGCTTGGGGTAAGAAAGACAAGAGATAAACATTATATGAATATCGGAGGAAAGTCACCGGAAATGTTTCCAATGTTTTGGATACTGATTTAGTTGTTACTTACTCCAAGATTTTTCCTAGTTGATCCACATCTGAACTTCCACGAAAGAGAGGCCTAGAAGAATAAAGATACATCTTATACAAGGAATCTTCTCAGGTTACATGTTAATCATATTTGTTATTATCACGGCTTAACAGGAATAAAATATTCTCCATGGCTGGGGGAGAAATAAAGAACTGTGACATCTTTCCTCTGTTCAGTGAAGACTGCTCTTGCACATCCCCTAAGGTAAAGATCTCTCATGAGTACCTGGTGGTATCTGACTCATGCTTCCCAATCAAAGGTGTCGCAGTAGTCTTCGCAATAGTAGTACACCATTACTTACGGGTGCAGAATTCAACTCACTCGAGGGCAGAACACCCTATGGTACTAATCTCACACCACGGGAAGGTGGGACTCTGAAGCTCTTCTTGGGGAGACCCTGCTCCGAGCACCTTTTGTGCCACTGTTACTAAAGCGCCTCTCCCTGGGCCTGTCTCTTCCCACTGGTCCTGGACTTTGTAGTGAGCCACCTTAATTTTTATTTACACCTTCTTCCTTTCTCCCAATAATGTGACTGTCAACCATTAAAAATCCAAAATCTCAACTGTGAGCTCCAGAGGCAATCATGTCCTCTGAACAGAGGCCGCATCCCTTGTCTACACTGAGCATTTACCAGCAATTAAATAAATTCACTGCGACATTTCTGGTATTTTCCCAAGTAGATAAAGCAGCTCTCTGAGGCTGCTCAGGGCTTTCTCTAGGTTTCCTCATGACCTTTGCTCTAATGCTTTACCTCAACACATACAAATGATTAAATATTTGATTATATCTGTCCATGTCAATGGAATACAAGTAAATCTCCCTGACTTCTTGCTCAATAAATGACTCAAGCAGGTATTTTTCAATGATTACATATGTATACATCTTCCAGTACTGGGGATTGAACCCAAGGCACTACATTCACCATGAACTGTACATTTCTAGCCTTTAAGTACTTTCTTTAGATGGAGTCTCCTGAAATGGCCCACGTTGGGCTTCAATTTATGATTCTCTTGCAACAGGCTATAAAAATGCTAGGGTTATAGGTGTATGCCATCACACCTGACACACTAATGAATTTTAAAGATATGTATAGCTTATTATCAAACACCGTATTGCTTATTAGAAATTGATATGTTAGATATCAATTTATAGACATATACTTGACTTATTTCCTGTGGAAAATAAATGCTATATGGGTCGCATACGGAGGATCCTGAAGAACCACAGCCTCACAGTTATTAGAAGAGCGCTAAAAAGCCCTCAATCATACTTTCTATTCACGTCATCATTCCTGTAAATAATGGTTTCCAAGTATTGTGACAACAACATGGGCTCAATTGTGTCCTTCTGAAATCCGTATGTTGAAATTAAATTCCAGTATCTCAGAATTTGATTATATTGGAAGACAGGGCATTTAAAAAGGCAACTAAAAAAAAGATTTTAAAAAGGCAAGTAAGTTGAATTAAGACTGTTAGGGCAGGCTCTGATTCAGTCTCAGTGGTGGCTTTAGAAGGTGAGAGGTGGATGTACGTGACCGCGTGCTGGGGCAGTGGTGAGGCCCCAGGAGAGGCTACTCCTGCCAACACCTTACTCCTGGCGCTCTCACCCCCAGCGGTTTAGAAGTCTGTGGAAGTGCTGTGTTTCACAGCCCTGGCAAACCCATAGACGTAACTTGTATGTCACTAACGTAGTCACATTTGTAACAAATCACGGAGTTGGATCCTAAAAGAATCCAGACAGGTTTTTGTTTTTTTAAATTAGGGATGGAATATAAGGTCTTTGGTTTGGCAGCCAAGTGTTTTACCACTGACCTACACCCCCCAGTCCCTAGACAAGTTTTACAGAATAGCAAGGTGAGAATGCACGCTTTCCTATAATTTAAAAAAAAAAAAAAAATGGAATCTTAGCACCCATCTTTTATTGAGTGTGAATGTTTTATCTGGCATAGTACCAAGTGTTCCCCACAAGTGATCTCAGTTTAATTCTTGCAAAAATTCCTGGAGAAATATATTTTTATCATTTCTGTTTTCAAATGAAGAAACAGCACTGAAGATTTAACAGGACAAACAGAAAAAAACTGCAGAGCTCGCTTCAGCAGCACTTCCACTGTAACACTGGACCGGTACAGAGAAGATCAGCGCAGGCCTTGCTCGAGGATGACACACAAACTCACGAAGCAGTCCATATTTTTGTATTACTTGATTATAATAACAAAATAAACTCAAGGCTTTTAAAGGTAAGTGGATGCAACTAGAGACCATACTCGTAGGTAAAACAAATGAGACCCACGTGGATAATGATCCGACTGTTTCCCTAGTGAAGAACCTGAAAGAATAAAATCTGAAAGGTACAATAGATGCTGTGAAAGGGAAAGAAACTGTCCCAAGGGAAGGAACAACTTGGACGCAGGAAAGGAGAAAAGAAAGGAGGAAGGGAAAAAGAAATAGGTATGTATATACACAGGGTAGGTTGGGTAACTGTACTGCTACTTCTGCTGGTCTGTTGAGAGGAGCAGTGAATGCTTAAATTTTTTTTTTCTCTCTCCTATTAAATTTATTTTGTAAGGTTTTTTTTGACTAATTTTGCATGCTTATACCTGGTAACCTGAACAACTAATTTAAAGGTAACAATATGTAATATAACAACCATTGTTGAATTCCTAGTATTTTGTTTAGTCAAATTCTGTAACGTTTCTAATGTTTTTTATTTTTTACTTTTTATTCTTTTTTTAAAAAATGCAGACTTAAGAATTCTAATCAGGCCTGCCCCAAAAGCCTGCATGCTTCTCTTTTGCCACAGTACTTTTATCTTGATTACTTGTATTTTTTTGCTCAGTCATGACAATTAAGCATCTGCAGAGGAACAATATCGAGAATCCGTGAAAGGTGCTACAGAGATCTGGTGCTTCACAAACTAGTACCTATGAGATTCTGTATTCAGATTACTTTGTGTCTTTAGATCCTTGCTTTACTTTAAAAAGGAATGAAGCTATGTATTAGATTAACTGATTTTTTTTTTTTT